ACAGGGTTTTTGGGAGTTCCCTTACAATATTTCCGTGCTTAATTTCCCGGCATTTCCACAGGAATACGTTTTATAAATTAAGGTAAATAACGAACTGGTCCACTGTAATATTCGCAAATCCGAATCCAAATCCAAATCTAACTTCAGCCTCATGTTTTTACTTTTTTTACTTTACTGTTGAGCTTTTACGCCACCTGGTGATAAGGTAAATGATCGTCACTCATAGCACGGTTGATAGCCTAGGACTAGCTCCTTTTAACGACTTCAAGTTGATTGAAATATGCAAATTTGAAGATATTTGTTTCTAGTTTCTTATGGTCTATAATAATAATAATTTTGTTTTAAAATTTCTGGGTCGGTCAGTCTCTCTAATACTATACCTCGGTACTTTTACTGGAACAAGCAGTATATTAATAAAATAAGTAAAGTTGTTTGAAAATCATATATAAAATTAAACTTTCAAAAAGAAGGAAAGCGGTTGCGGGGAATTGGGTGTTCAAGATCGATTTCTTTATCATAATCACAGGGGTTATGGGGTTATAATTTGGAGGTAAAAGCCATTAGCCGATTACTGGTCCCAAAGTTCAATTAAACAGTCGTTAGGGAGAGACGCCGGTTGTAACCGATCATATTAACTCGAATTTTCTATTAGAAAACATGTGGTGGTGGGGCAAAGGACATGTTTATATTTTTCGGTAAGACGAGAAACAATTTTTCGACTTTGTTTTGGAACTAAAGGTCTTTCTTTCCTTTATTAACAGGACTGACAATTTTTTTGGATTTGTCGACCCCCTATTCAAAAATAGCAAATTGTGCACAAGTGTCACTTCCAGTAGTGAAAAGATGTTCTAAAGACAATTTTAATGAGTAACCACCAAAAATATAGAATTTAAAGAATGTAATATAATACATACACATTCGCACACAATCATACATTTTATACATACAGAGGAGAAAATGTAGGATTCTGACAACTTGATCAATCGTCGCGTTAATTATAATATATAATAAAAACAAAATGATTTTTTATAATTTAATTTCTGTAGAATTTATTTTCCCATGTTATTATATATAATAATATATTATGTTTATTCAACGTTTCGATCACAAAATCTTAGAAATTAATAAAATCACTTTTTACTTCATTAAAAAGTAAAATTACAGCATTCTTAAAATTTGGAAAATTTCTTACCCACAAAAACTTGAATTACATGAGGTACAGAATCATGAAATATTATGTCTAGTCTAGTCGTATAGAGTGAAGGCATGGGCGGTGAAGGCAACAAATATAAATAAGCTCAAAGCGTTGGCAATGTGGACTCTGCGACGAATGCTGAGAGCGAGAACACTCGACCATGTGATAAATGGTAATATTCTCCAGGGAGTCGAATAAGAAAATAGCTTAGTTATTACATATAACGTGAGAAGAATGTTATTACCTTCCACTACTCATTCTTCAAGGGAAGAGCAAAGGAGGGATCAGAAGAATTGGCAGAAAAACGGTCGCTAAGAAACATCTATCACTGGACAGGAATAAACGACTTCCAAGAATTACAATCAATTGCAATCAAAAGGAAGATTTGATGGGAGAAAGGATGCATCTCGATGCAGGAACATGCATGGCACCTTAGAACATCCTCAACCCAATAGACTTGCTTTACTAAAGGTAAAGGTACTAAAGGCACCCAATAATTTGAACATAATGCTCAATTCATATTTGAACGAAGGAAAGAATTTTGCAATGAAATCAATGCCAAACAATGAAAGTGGCTTTGGTATGCGTTGGGTCACTCTGTGGTCTGTTTGCATAATGAGGACTTATTACTCTTCCTCCTACCTTTTTGAAAAAGACTATGGAAACGGGAAACTTTTATCCAGGCAAGACCTGTTCCAATACACAAAAGTTTACCTAAATTTGTCCGCTTGATGCAATATGCATACACAGTTCCGAAATATCGCGATAGATTCGAGAATTGTCCGGGACAACGGAGATGCAGTTCGCCGTTTATGGGTTAACAACCTCGTTAGGTGAGAATGCGCATGTTCCAATTTCACCTGGAGTCGATGCGGAAATTGGAGCGAAGCGTTTTTTTTAAAGGTGCGCCTAAAAAGGGCTTCAACTATTAATTGGCAATTAGCCAAAATAAAACGGCAATTTGGATTGTTTTTTTTTTGGAATACAACGAGGAGAACTCTCCGAAGTGAGATTTGTCTAAATTTCTTTCCGATGATTTAAAATAATTGTCGATTTAAAAAATAATTGATGAAATGGTTTTTCAGAGTCTAATTTGTGTTATTTTTGGAATACAATTTTAAATATTCTTTTAAGTTCTTCACTCTGTAGTTATTTCTGGATAATCCTAAAACAAAACATATATATATATATATATATATATATATATATATATATATATATATATATATATATATATATATATATATATATATATATATATATATATATATATATATATATATATATATATATATATATATTTAATTCTTTAAAATTTTTATTTTTTAAAGACAATTCGGCATTTTTTGGGTTTTAATTTGTTTAGTTTCTGGACGTATTGTTTAAAATTAATATTACTTGTTAAAAAATAGGTACCCGAAAACCTAAACCAATACCAAAAAAATTAGTTTAAGTTTTTCAGGAAAATCTCATACTTTTTCTTACGTGTTTCAGTATCACAGTTGACATACTTAATACTTAGTATTCGGAAGCAAGTGTCTCAAATTGGAGAAAAAAAATGTCCCAAGTTTTGGAAAAGAATTAAATTTGATTGTAAATGATTACAAGTCTTATCACTATGTTTTGCCATATTTGCGTAAATTAAATCTTTCTTATCGATACCGATAGATAAAACAGAAACATATAAAATGTGACAAATGGGTTTAATGCATGAGAATATTTCTACAATAGCAACACTAAAAACAGAAAACTATAATTATAATTTAATATGACTTTCCTGTGTCTACATTTTTTTAACTATGTATTTGTTATAATTTACAAAACGAAGTCGGGTACACAATTAGACTATTATCTTATAATAAAAAATAATTAAATTTAATATTTTTTTTGGCAAAAACTGGTGCGGGTTATATTTATTGTTATGTGATTTCCAAAAGGCGTGCAGTAGTAGTGATATTTAAAATTTAATCTTAAAAATCAAAAAATCTTTTAGTCATGTATAATATTGCTTAAAAGTGTTTTTTGTTTGAGGCCATTAATTGGATAACTGCCAAGTGTTGGGTGTTTTGGTTAGAATACCGATTTTCCATGAATAAAACAGTTAATTTACTTTATAATGGCAATCAACTTAGATTGATAGATTAAATTATGGGTGTTTCAATATCGTGATTTGTTCCGATTGTTATAGATGACACTCGGCAGCTCTTCGACGATGAACTCAACTTTTTTAATTATATAATTTTTTTTTAAGTTTTAATCAAAAGGGCTTCCGCCTAGTTCTCAAGACGGTTCCTAATGTGTTTCAGTCACCTTCTGTATCACTCATTTTCGTAAACTTTTTCAATTAGACCAGCCTTGCTAATATTGATTGCACTGCCAAGTGAGTAAAGCGGGTTGAAAAAAGAAAGGTTTAGGCTAACATTGTTTGCAATCGTCTATCGACTTATTAAGCAATGAAATAGTGAAGTCTATTAGGAACATATTTATGAACCGTTTCGACTGCCAAGCAACTTTTTTGCCGTGGTGAAATTAGAGGCGCCGGAGCATATCAAAGTTCGTTAAAAATTACTTATGGATCAGCAAATTTACCGCGATCGATTATTAGGTCGTATCCCAGAACCAATTTATTGCTAATTATATGCGTTTCCTGGGCTTCGCAGATTTACACGGATCCTTTCATTTATTTAGTCGGTCAATTCTACAGGGTATGATTGATGATATACATGATTGTATTGAGAAAGGCTATAAATGGTACAGTTAATAAGATGGAAGCCAAAGCAAATAATGTGATTCTTCTTTTAAAAATTAGATACGTACACAAGTTGATCACTTTTTAAATGGGATTTTATGGGCAATTGAAGACGGTTCAATGGGATTGAATTTGTTTATTTAGATGCACAATGCGCTGGAGCTATCTAAATTAAATATTCAGAGGTACACTTCGGTATTCGCTTGTTATTCTTAAATAATTTTGGTCCGCGTTGACATTACGTTTCGTTAAGATCATTTATTAGCTTACTTCTTTGTATAGAATTCAAAAATGCACAGAAATGCATGGCTCTTTACTTAATATTTCAATATTGGTTCTAGTAGTTTAAAATTAAGATACTTTCTTGACAAGACAAGTGACCTTTTTAACCCTACATCTTTCGTATTCCTTTTAATACGCGATTTCCAAGCGTCGAAGCTTGGCGATCCAAGTGGCCAATGTAATTTTGAAAACTGCTGCTCTAAAGATATTATTTGATGAGCAACGATACCAAAGCCTTAGGACGCCCTTTTGACCCGCGACTTCTGTCTCCTATCTGATATTTTACCATAAAGCTTTCGCTTCATAATAAGCCTCAATTTGCGTCTACGTACTTCTGTATTCCTTCTATTCTTAACCCGCTCAAATGACCGTTAAACAAATTCCTTTGATCGAGCTGTCCGAGCTCCTGAAGTTGAACAATGAACCACTATACATCTATCAAGATGTTAATGATCAACGTGGATGGTATCTGTAAAAGTTATCTATACAGATTCTTTCGAAGTGAAAATTGCGGAGGACAGTATAGGATTTCGATAACAAAATCGACGTCCAGATCTGGTCATTAATAGGCAGTTACTTTGTAAATCGGCGATGTTTTTCTTTAACACTTTTTATTGCTGGTCTTACTGTAGGTAGGATTTAATTAGATTCTCTTAGTGAAATTTGGTTTAGTTATTTGAAGTTATTGCAATAAGAGAAGCTAGTAGCTTTATTTGAATTTTATGACTACTTTTGACTGATTGTGAATTAATTTTTGTTTATTTTATATTACAGGCACAAGGAAGAAACAAATAAAAGGAGGCTATTTGCTACGCTACAAAAGTAAGTTTTGTTTTTTTGAAGGGTTAAAATTCGTATCATAAGGATAACCAATTAATAAACAGCTTCATGTTGTTCCAGTTTTTAATTTAAATGGATGAAATTGACGATGTCCTAAGGATCAAGTTGACGTTGTCGATTTTCCAGGTCAAACGGTCCCTTTTTTGTCACTTTAATTAAAATTTGTTTCAAGTGCTTGTGTTTTTGATTCGTTTTTAAATTAGAATCTATTGCCGATTAAGTAAATGTCGATGAAGTGTTATTCGTTTTGTAAAAATATATTTATTAAACGATTGTGTAGATTTTTTTTGACAATATTTGTAAATTTAATGTATATTACGCTTTTTATTTCTGACTTGAACTTATTATAAAGTGAAGTATTTAGCTGATTCAGTTGATTTAGTATTGTATCATTGACCTTTTCAATGTTACAGATCCTAATATATGTATATATTAAGTCATGCTATCATCACACTCCGATATTTTAAAAACCAAGGCCTGCAAATTTCCATCTGATGTAATGCCTACTATCAATCTGTTGACATTTTATGAAAAATTTTGTTATTTCTTTATAGCGATGCTTTATAATTTATAAATGAATGGAAAATAGCATGGTACGCTATTAGTGAACATTCATAATTTAATAATAAACATTTGAAATCAGCAGATTTGATATGAGAGTTTTCAAGACAATTCAGATATATGGACAAACAGACAAAACAAAAAAATAATTCCAATCGCATATAAAACACAACTTTGTAATAGCAATATTCAAAAATACATTTTTCACTTTCAAAAAGTAACTTTTATCATAAAAAATAAGCCGAAGCGAATAGATATTTAGAATTTGTGAAATTTAAATATAACATTCAGATATTACATTTTTAAAACATTTTTGGGTTTAAAAAATTATAGGTTTCGTTATTTTCATTTTGACATTTTGATGAACATAAATAAAAGAATAAATAGACAACTTCGGCCTCATAATGTCCAAAGGTAAATATAGGGAAATTTGACGCGTCGCACTTATAAACCCGACAACTTTGTCGTAAAAAGCTTTTAAAACATCATTTGCAATTTAAATCTCCTGAGAATATTAAATACGGGGCGAAAGATTCGCTCATAATGTGCATTAAAGCTCTTCCAAGATCGTGACTGGGAATGTGTATGAGCGACACGACGTGATAAATGTTGATTTTTACTATAAATTTTTCAAGCGATGTGTTTGTAGCCGACTTCTCAGATACGACGGATGCACAATGTTACCATGCTCATCTTTTGGCTCCAATAGAAGGAACATAACACAATAACACCGAAAATCAGATTTGACAATTTAAAAAAGCAAATTGAAAAGAAGTTAATACTCAGTTAATACTTTAGTTCTAATCACAACTACTGGCAAAAGTAAGTAATGAGGAAAAAGAATTGAAAATTTTCTTTCAAGTTCAAGTCTAGGTCAATAGCCGTCAAGTAGCTAGTTTATGTGATCCACATTTAATCGCACCACTAGAAAACACACGTACCATGCTTCCCATATGGAAGCATAGCAAGAACTTCTAAACTTTGATTTTGAACAAAGAGTAAACTTCTGCACCGTTATAAATGAAACACTAGAAGCCGCTTCAAATTTTTTGTCTAAAATAATTTTTCAGATGAAGCTACTTTGGTGCAGTTAGTCGTAATAACATGCATTAATGAACCATATTTTTTTTTGCGAACGACTTAACGAGGGTAGATATTTAAACTGTTTTCAGAATGATTTATGACATATGTGGTTTACCAGAAGTTCGTTGATTTTTAAATAATCTATACCCATAGAAATGGATCGGTAGACATAGATTCATTGGATGGCCCCCTCCACCATCTGACTTAACACCACTAGATTTCATTTTGTGGGGATATCTTTAAGATCCCCCTACAACACCATAAGATATGGGAAACAGAAAGAAGGAAAAAGTATTCGAAAAAGACTAAACATGTGTATCCAAGTAGAAGGGCAAATTTTTGAACATTTATTGCGCCACAATAATAATTAATAATAGGATAAGTTAATTAGAGTAATAGGTACTTAATATTATTAACTTTTTCTGCTATTGCTAATAACTGTCTTTTGCTTTAACTAAGGCTCCAGCAAAGTTCTTTCTCCTGTAATAATAAATCGGAAAGTATTAATAATAGGTGTATGATATACTTGACAAAAGTTCAAGTAAGATCTTTGACAAAAAATATAAATTGAATTTTGAATGATCTAAATATATTCGATTATTTTGAACACCCTATATCATCTAATTGAAATTCCGTTTCATATATCGTTTATGTCATCTTCAAATAACACTAATATAAAATAAAATGCTGTTATTGTAATTTTTTGCAAGTGTTAAAACTAGTATTTTTTCTAAAGATTGAAATATTGGCACAATTGTTAGGCTTAGGTATGTATTATTACTAATAAAAAAGTGGAAGAATTTTGTAAGGAATTCAAAACAAAATTTAAAAATAGGTGTTCCATTTTAAAAAATATGTATGTTTTATTCGTCGCGCCTTTTTGACCAACCCTGTGTACTTTGAAATAATTTTAAATTGTGCATTCTAACAATCTTGTGTTTACGGTTTTATCGTAACTTTTCAAACCAACGAGATAATGAACTTTACTCCATCGTTGACGCACTCCGTACCTGCTTATATACTGTTTTTTTTTAAAGATTTTTGAACAACTGGTAAATGTGGTCTTAACATTATGTTTATTAGAACTGAGGAAGAACCACAGTGGCAAGTGTGAGGTTGCTTTCGGACTCATTTTCTTTGCTATTTTGCAGTAAAGTGTATTTTGTAATGAAACGCTTAATATCTCTAATGTGGAAATTATTTGAAAGAAAAGTAGTTGTTGGGTGTTTTAATTCTGGATCCTGTGATTCAGGTTGAGATATTTTTACGGCTCTGTAAACCGAAGAGTTGATACCTGATGACTTCTGCGCAGGGTTAAGGTATCGACGTATGTTAGGTGTGTTTAAATGTTTAAGAAAATCTCCGACCCATTCATGACAACGAAACATTGCAGAAAAAAACAATAGAGCAGTAGAGCAATTTCACTTATTGTTTGCTGGATTTTGACAATTTTTCATTAATATTTATTAAGTTCTTTTTAGATAAACATTGTATAGACATCAGATCTTGTTTTTGTATTAAAATAATAATAACAATTAAAAATGATTTGTGACTAAATCACAGCAAGCGATAGTGAAAAAATAACTTCTGATGATTTTTTCCTTTACATTTTTAATGTAAATTTTTGATCCCCATATATATCACAAAAGCTTTCAGTCCAAGAATTAGATAGATAGATTTAGATCCGCAAATGTTACTTTTTACATAAAATTCAAAATATGTCAGAGGGCTAGATTTATAATATTATATACGAAATACGATTTAAATTAAGAAAGTTGTTAGTTATCTACCAAGATACATATAGCAACATAATATTTTAAAAGTACAAGTGGATCCAAACAACGTTGATATCTTCATATATGAGATATAATAAACAGTCATCCGGTACATAATAATTTTTATTCTGTTTCCTTTTTACGAGTATTCTATCGGGATATAGGTGTGGGTGAATAAATAACAATAAAGCAAAACCTATAAATTGACCGAAAAATTTTGCAATGAAAACATTGCCAAGCAATAAAAGTAGGTTAAGTATTTGTTGGGCCACTTTGTAGTCCTTTTGCATACTTAATAAGGTTTTATTGCTCTATACTTTTCTGACATCGACTTTAGATTAATAGAACACAAAGTTTTTTGACTGGCTATGACGTTGATATTTCTTTATCAGTGTAGAAATTTTAGCCAGCGACGGAAAGCTTGGTTTATGGTGGATTTTTTTAAATTCTTTTTTTAACGTGGCGTGAATGTAAGGCGGCGAGAAGTTTCTATTGTTTGACGAAACATTTTCAGCGAATGAGGGGTTCTGGTCCACACCGCCAAGTTTTATCAATTTTGTTATTTAATTATAATTTTAAAATGAATCATAAAATTTCAAAAAAAAAAGAAAAATGGCAGGGAAGTCCCAAGGTGTTAACTTAGTGATTACGTACTCTTTTATATTATATTTCTACGGATTTTCGTTGCTCAAAATAATAGCTGCACTTTAAAATTTTTACTCAGAAATAGGTGGAAAGTATTTTTTTTCTTTCGGTCTGTCGCAGTGAATACCAAGGCAAGAAATTCACATCTAACAGTCTGTTCCGATTAAGAAATATTTAACGGTGCATCCCGAAAAAGATTAAGCAACGAGGTCTCTAGTGCGACAATATAAAACATTTCATCCACGATAAAGAGGTACGAACGATTTTTCTCGGGCAGATTAATTCGAAGAGATAAAACGGAGCCATTACGGAGGGAGTCGTAGAAGACTTGGTGAAACTTGGAAATATATTGGGAAACTGACGAAAACGTTAGCAAGATATATTTCGTGATGAATATGTTCGTTACAGGTTGGCATCGCCTTACCCGTTTGAAAATGTTAAGCGAGCTACTATAAAATTTTAGTGTATAGTAGCAATTTGATACCCGCCTTTCAGGCAAATATTGGTTTGCGCCATGTTCACGTCTTATAAGGGAGCCCTAAAGTTTACATTTGTTCGATCCGAATGGCATTTTCCATTAATCCTTTCGATTCAGGATAATTGTAAACGATCAGTCAACAACTTTAAAAGCTCTTAATCGCTCAATTGCCTTAACTCAATGTTTTTTTTATAGTTGACTTATTTTTTACTCGAGAAAAATTTGAACCCTTTAATATCTAGTTTCTTAATGCACAAAATTTCATTAGAGCTTGTCTTCTGAAAATAAATCTAAACTTATAAATGTTTTTTTTTATAGTGGCGACGAGAATCTGAGAAATATTTTCTAGTAAAAATGCTTCGAATTTTGGAATAATATAGTAAAAATATACGGTAATTAATTATTTAAGGGCTAAGTAAAAACTTATCTTCTGACCATAT